GGTAAGTTGACAATAGAATGTTATCAACTTAATCATGAAGTTTTTATTTCGGTTACCATCAACGTCTTTTTCTATTGATCAAAATTAGAAAAAAAAAAGAAAGAAACAAACGAGTCGGACTTTGTATTATTATTTTTTTCATTAAAATTTGATATTGTCAATCAAAAACTCAAATATCTTATTTTATACCTACTTCAATAAAAATATATCTATATAAGTCAAACAGTTTGCTCCTCGATAAGCCAAACATTTCAATCGCCGTTAAGCAATGTCCTTGCTTATTGGCCAACCTTTTCAAAGCTGCTTCGTCAGAACAAAAAAAGCACAGTACATGTGATACAAAATACTTGAAACCCAAAGGCAGAGTTCTTGGTATATGGCTATAAATAAACGACTTACAGATAAAGGTAGCAAGAGTACAGGTATCAGTTCCTCCCACTTTGTTATACTTAAGTACCTATTGTCATGTACATGTTGTTTGGTTTCAACCAATTAGCTGCCAGGGGAACGTCGAAAAAGAAAGGAAACATTGAGATAACGAACAGTATTCAATCTCAAAGTCCATAAAACAATACAAAACAAGAGCAGAGCAAACACGGACCTCCGAAACATCAGAGATGGGATCAGTTGCCATGGAGGAGTGACCTGCTGACCGGTCAGACCCGCCGTGTGCGCATTGTCATGATCGTGAAATAACGGGAAATCCGTCTTCAATTCAGTGTATGAAAAATGGACTTAGAATTAGTATAAAAAACGTCAGTCAGCATTAGACTCAATGATAAATTGTATTTGTTGACTAGGTCATTGTTTCGACCATAGAACTAACAAAATGACGTCTTTGGTATCTGTGGTATCTTTTTTCTCAATATATCGTTTCGGGGTAGGAACGAAAATTACCATTATTAATTGACAATACGTCGTCGATATATCTGAAGATCTAGTTGAAGGCCACAGCAAGTGTTTTCTTCTTTTCACGCATACGATTTTACGTAAATTCTCTTCATATAAATACAAAAATAGGTCTGCTAATAACAGAGCGCGATACGTTCCCATGGGAATTCCAATAGATTGTTGGAAGACCTGGTCTCCAAAAAACCACAAAGATATTGTCGATCAGACTTTCAAGCATCTTGATGTCAACTTTAGAGTACCTGTGTGTGCAATCAGAATGACAACGGATTTTGGACATGATCATGACAAGGAGCACACGGCTGGTGTGACCGGTCGGAAGGGGATGCTCACTCCTCCATGGCACCTGATCCCACCTCTGATGTTTCGGGGGTCCGTGTTTGCTCTGCTTTTATTATGTATTGTTTTATGGACTTTGAGATTAAATAGTGTCTGTTATCTCCATTTCCTTCTGTCAATGATATCAGATTTTAATTTACCGTGGGAATGGTTGTGTATAAAGTGGAAAAGTCGAATAATTAAAGAATGATATAACAGGATAAAGGTTAGCATAAAATCTGAAGTTCTGAAAAAATCTTTCTAAAATGCATCATAATACATGTATATCATTTTGTTGAAATTGGCAATCTCTTTCTTTACTCTTGTTGCTCATTGTGTTCTGTATTTAACGAAATGTTTGTAGCATTTTTGCCTTGAAATTTTTTTGCGTTTACGATGATCTAATAAGACCTACAAGAAAAATGAGGAAAATATTGTCTTGAGACTACTATTCAAGGCGGCGTCAGACATAAAACTTCGTGATTATTGTGTATAAAGTGGAGTGTAATTAATTAAACATACATTAAAAATTGATTTAAGAAAAGCAACTGTTGTTTTACTTGCATACTACGTACACTTTTGTGCACGAGAAATGCATAAAATATATGCTCGTCAAGGAAATATAAGTAGATGACGAACAGTATTCTAGATCAAAAGTTAAAAAAAAAACAATACAAAATAGGAGCAGAGCAAATATGGACCTCAAAAAATCAGAGATGGGACTTGGTGCCATGAAGGAGTGGTCATCCCCTGTAATATAATTTTATAGAGTTATAAGTACCGCGAAATAAGCTCACAGAATTATCTATAACTTTTTTAAAAAACTTCATAAGGGTATTTAGTTATTTGCTGTCTGAAAGTACATCGAAATAACAATGAGATGCCACACAATGTATTTGTTTAATTTGATTTCGTCTTAGATATACAAAAAGAAAAAAACGTACACAATATTAATATTACAGATAGCTGCCTAGCTAATACGTTTTCTCAGTCATATCCAGCATAAAATGTAAATGTATTTTATAATATTAAACTGACGTTAAATTTTGGCATAAATATTGTAATACTATATAAATAAGCCAACAAGACATACTTCACAAAATATCACAATGAATCTGATCAGCATTTTTTTAAATGAATGCATAAATATTACATGAAAATTTTTAACACGTGCACCGTGTTAAAGACAGTTTCTTTAGTAACTATTTAACATTTTGTAAAAAAATCTTTAGATTTTACACACCACTGGTGCTTAATGAGTCTAGCTACATGCAGTTAAACAGTTATATAATATATATATATATATATATATATAGCAATCACAATACGGACGGCGTACAGTTATTGTCTGCATCAATATTGACAGTCACTTAATAAGGTCATAAGATATCCATTTTGGGTATTTTTTAAAGAAATATGCTGCGCCCATCGCATATGTTGAACCGATATGCACAGGAACTACAACTGTTACTGGATGACGTAGCTCTTTAAACCACTTTTTTTCGGCCTCATGTAAGAACATTTTCATTTGAGAGTAGCTACCAGTCATTATCACACAGCGTACCTTTCGATTTTCAATTTTTTTTGTGTGTTCCTCTATGATTTTCTGGGTACTGTCTCTTACATGAGTAAAAAATTTTTTCAATACGGACCATCTAAAAATGATAGTGCATTCACTATCTGTCTTTTTAACTTCTCCCTCGTGTTTTGTCACACGGTCCTCAAGATCATTTATGCTCAATTTACCTTCTTTAAATAATTCAACTAATTGAGACGGCAATTGAAATTCATATTTTTCATCTTCGTCCATGTTTTCACGCATTTTGTTTTTCCGATCCTCCAACAGGCAGAGCAAAGATACAAATTCGCTTTCATATTGTGTTCTCCATTGATAGAAAATATTTGGTGTAACTATATCTGTGATTAACTCTACAAATTGATCCTCTGGAGTTGTTCCTGATCTCCATTTTTGTCTGTGTGGTTTATCGATGATAGTGTCTGGGCGTTTTGAATTCTCGGATTTCAGGAATGTAAGGTTGCAATATTCTGAAATGAATGACATAAATCACATACATATATAATGAATAGAAAATATAATAAAATAATTTCATGTAATATTATCTTACATTAAAAAAAACTTGTCATACTCAATACATCTACAAAAAAGAACCCTTTATCAACATCACTGTTATTAGAATCTGAGTCGAAATTATTTCCTTGCAGCTTTAAACTCTTATATTGACATTTTCCTCAATTAAAACATGTAACGTTCCACAGTGCAATTTGAGCATAAAAATTATCATTCATGTTTCTTTTTTTTTTTGTTCTCGTAGATACAAATGGATCCAAAACCTCGAGTATGACACTGAATTTTGTTTTGAATATTTTGCATCTCTAAAATGCAAAAGGCTGATAACAATCTTATTCAACAAAACACAGGCTACGTGTGATCTTCATTTAGGGCTTCAAAAATACAACCATATTTCATCACCCATGATTTAGGTTTTTTTCCCGTTATTTCCCCTTTTATATTGTATTAAAATTTTATTTTACTTTTTTTTATTATAACTATAATTCCAACATATGAAATGTTACATTTATACTTACATAAGCGAAAAAAATCACCTATCTAATCATAAAAATATTCTTTTCCTTTAATTGTCAGGACTCTAAAAATTAGTTGTGGTGTTGAAATGTTAAGTGTCTCATTGCAATATTTTAAGTGCACAGCGTGCAGTTTTCGAACTCTCATCTGTTCTATTACATGTAGTTCTTTCTCAATGTAGTGATTACTTCTCTTAATAATGTCAAGGAGCACACGGCGAGTTTGACAGATCAAGAGAGGATGCTTACCTTTGACCTAGATTCACTTTTAGTGTTTTTTAAGGTCCTTATTTAATTGCTCAACAATTTGTATTGCATCAATAATGTTTTGATTTCGAGTTTGATATCTCGATATTTTATTACATTTCAATTCCTTTGCAAAAACATTAAGAAAACACGCTTTAATCTATATTAAGTAGAACTTTTTTTACTTTGTAAAGTATAAAAATACGTGCTTCGTCTGCAATGGATTTTAAAACTCATGTTTTGCATAACTGACCCTCGCTCAATACTTACTTGATCCTACATGTAGATTGACGTATGTTGTGTTTTCGTTGAATGTCAAATTGGCAACGTTGAAATTCAAACAAGTGACAGATGCTTTAACCTCGTGAATATATGGAGAAATAGCCACTTCTCTCGATTTTATGTGCAATCTGTCTTTCTTTACTTTTTCATGCAGATGTTCCTAGTTATAGCAAATATCAATAAAAATTATTTAAGGTAGTGCACAATGACAGACAAAATTTTACAAAAGATAAATAGAATGAGTGAATGAAACCCAGGCTAAAATTGTGTCAGCCAGAGGTACAATGAAACAGCACTTCCAGATCGTTTGGTGATTTATGAACATATTAGATGCAAATTAGTGTTTTGTACTACTTTACTTGAATACATTGATGAAACAAAGGTTTGGCAACGATATTGTGTTCAATTAGCAACATCTCGAAAAGCGACCATTTACCCCACGGTGTTTAGAAAATGTTTGCGGACGTAAGTCAATTTTCAAGGTCAATTTCAATGGGACAAATTTGTTGGACACCCATTGAAGGTCTTGTGAAAAGAAATACAAATGAAAATTGTGAAAACGAAAGATTAAACAATTAATCGGTCAGCTTTTCAGTCTTGTCAACTTAGCAAAGGCTTCCTTAATTCCTTGCCTTTTTCTCCTATGCAATTAAAATACGTTCAATATTATTTATCCCTAGCATTCCCAGACTGAATATTACCATAGTTCTGTCAAAAGCTTCTCTAAGAGGTATAACGTCGTCTTTCCAGTGATTAGGAACTGTGATGACACAATGCATGTTACATAGCATACAGGATCCTGATTCACAGCATGTTGTATCATCTTTGGCCGGCAAATCACGGCCAGTTATTTTCTTGTAAATTTTCTTCACCAGGAAACCAATAATATTTTGATAAACCTCAATAACCTTCATCGAACCAAGTGTGGGAATCTGTAATAAAAACATCCTAAGATAAAAAGAAATTATAATCAAGAAAATTAATAAACGATATTACTAAGTTATTTTTATTTATTTTGCATTTAAAACGTACATGTAGATATACTAAACCGTATAATTACAGTATCATTCCAATATTCCATATTCAGTTTGTCATGATCAAGAAACGTATAGTCACTGCAATCTGTTTCATTATCAGTAAACATATTACGAGCTTTATCTCCAAAATCTATTATTTCTCCATTCTTTTTAACAAGAGCCCCAATTATTTCATGGTTTCCGAGGCTTATTATATCCTCTGGATATTTTGGATTCAAATAGGCCGTGCCACAATACTTGTCACCAAAATAAATCGAGTACACCCAAGACTTTTCTGCAACGACAAAAATGGTAAGAAGTGTCAACTATATAGTAATGATATTGTACAACAAATGTTATGTTATAAATTCTAATTGTTACAGAGACACCGTTACATGTACCAAGAACACCGTTACAGATGTTCTCAAAATGCCCTCCTCAATCCCTCTTTTGTTGCCTCTTTCTTACTAAACTTCATTTATAAGGAAAAATTACTGTTTTATATGAAAATCGTGTTCTTTTGTTTACTCTTAAAATATAGTTTTATGTTCTGAATAACAAATATGTAACAAAAATATGAAAGTTTGGACTATATTAAGTATATCACACACTAATTGCACGCGTGGGCACATGCATGTACGTTCCACAACCCTACATAGCATACCTATTATCCTTTGAGAGGTCTTACATTGTTGTTTGAATCGTCTTTAGTGCTTAAATCTGTTCGTTTTCTCAATGTAGTTCATTAATTGAATGAGTAAATTTGAAGTTCATTCGGAAGAATAACAATATTGAGAAAAAGAGTAAAAACACGTTCCAAATCATTGTAATGAAAACATAATTATGGACTATGACATGTTTTTTAAGTCTTTTTTTTTTTTAAATTAATGTAAGTAGTTTTTAATAATTAAATTTATGCGAGTTCATGGACATGATAAACAAAAATCAATTTTCAAGAAGAACTCCCGATCTGCAAATGTTTCTTTATAAAGAAATTATTTTTTTTTACATTAATCTTCCTGCAAGTATTAGTGGCCACACTTTGGACGCAAACATATACATGTACATGTACATGTATGTACAATAATTTTCTAAAAATGGTTTCATTTTCTTTTAATAATATTGGCATTTTCATTACCTTCATCTGTTTCACTAGTTCCCTTGTCTGAAAAAGTAAGAAACTTCATAATTTGACGATTTAAACTATGGAAATTCATCATTTTGACGTTACATATAGAAATGACGATGTATTATATTTACAACAATAAAAATAGTCTTATTAATCTGAGTATTTAAAATAAAGTCGATGGTTTCGAAGGGTTATGTTTAATAAGTGAAAAAAATGAAAGGGGTGTTTTTAACCGTGACATAATATTGAAAGTGTTGTAATCTCTAAATTAAAGCATCTTAAAAACTAGAGGTACTGTGAGCAACGAACTTACTAAATAATACCCCCGCCTCCCATAATGTCCATGTGTTGCTATATATTGTTTTACGGTAATGTGTAAAGAGGAATAACTCGTCCTATCAAATGTTATCCAGAAGCTTCTTTATGTGACGTCATAGGTAAACATATTATGGTAATGTCAATATTTTGCTATTGGAATTTTAAAATACGTGTCGAATAAAAATGTGAAATAGGATAGTGCATAATGGCAATATGTAACTAGTGCTAATTGTAACGGGGACCGTTACAGATGTTCCCCAAACGCTCCCCAACTCCCTTTTGGTGCCATATTCCCTATAAGCTTCATTAAATAAGACAAACTCTATGCATTTGAGACTTTAACAACGTTTACCCAGAAGTGTACCAATTTCATTCAAATTTTAGAATTGCACGCGTGCGCATGTGAATGCACGTGCGTAAAGACCGTATAATCTTGTCTTCACAATCTATAGATTTCAATATACTAAATATCAAAGTATTTAATACAAAAGTATGAAAAAATACGCTAATTCAAGTGTATTTTTGATTTTACTCATTTCACGTGCACACACGTGCTCACATGAGAATGGCGACCATACTTTCTTGTAGAAGTCCTTTACATCTATCTATGTTCTAAATCCCACCCCGTTTGGTTTAAAACCAAGGGAGTTATAGCTATTTGAATCATAAGCCAATCAGATTGCAGCGCACGTGCATGCACACATTTTCATGATAATTGCTATATATCTTATTGTAGGATATCCTAATACATGCCTATATTTGAAATTTCAAAGGATTTCGTCAAAAAACAAGAAAGATATTGAGACTTTAGTTTCAGCCAATCAGAGCAAAGCGCACGTGCCTGCGCGTGAGATTGTGCTTTTTTGACCATGTCATCTTGTCTATGCTTCTAATATATACTTCTAATATGAGTTTTAAAGCATATCATCAATAATATAAATAGTTACGTCTTTATCAATTATATTGGACATTTCACTTGTTGCACGTGCGAGCTCTTGCAAGCACACGTGCATGTACATGTTTTCAGGACATTTCTTTTATTACGGACTGTAGATCTCCCTAATGTATGACTATGTTCAAAATTTCAAATCATTTTATCAAAAAACAAGAAAGATATTGAGACTTTAGTTTCAGCCAATCAGAGCGAAGCGAACGTGCTTGCACGTGCGATCTTGCTATTTTGACCATGTCATCTTGTGCATACTACTCATATATCCTTACATTATGAGTTTCAAAACATTTCGTCTGAAAATAGAAAAGTTACGGTTATATCCATTATATATTGGTCATTTCAAGTTTTGCACGTGCGCGCTCTTGCAAGCACGTGCGCGCAAAATGACCTTGATTCCGCAAATCTACATAACATGCCTACTTACCCTAAAAAGGTTTCCCCTTAATCGGATGTGTACTTTACAAGATCATTCGCGGACAAAATTTTCCCGAGAAGAAAAATAATAATAACTAGAGCAAAGCTCGTTGCAAAGCAACGAGTAGGTCTTCCGTCCGGTTTTGACCGGAAGTGCCGGAAGTGCCGGAACAAAAGAAAGCAATGAGCTAAGTAGTCTCCAGTGACTTTTTTATTTCAATTTTGCATCAAAACCTTCAAAATAAGCTATTTTCTGCTACTTCCGGTTTGACCGGAAGTGACGACGACGGACGGAAAAATGACTTTTTATGCTCTCAGAGACATATGTAACCCAAAAACTTGTCAGGAACGGCAAAAAATGGCGTTTTCCGACTACTTCCGGTTTGGCCGGAAGTGACGACGCCGGACGTATTTTGACGACTCCAATAGAATAAGCTTGACATTTTGAACAACTTTGCTTCTTTGACGTATTACAAATTCTAAATAATTTTTGAGATCTAAAGGAAAAACATTCGGCCCCTCTCGGACCCTGAATTAAGGGGCCAGCCCTTTTTTCGAGGTATCATTTGAAAGATCTTGAAATTCTAAACTTTTTTTGTTCTACATATGTTAACAAAATATTTCTAGGTAAAAAGTTATCGTAGAAAAGGTGTTAAAAATTTTGAAATTCTTGACAAGACTATTTTCGGGCCATAGCCAGCGTCGGCACTTCGTACTTCCGGTGGTTGTGATATACGAAATTCAGTTCTCCAAAGGTTGCTCTAGCATCACTGAAAATTTCATGCTTCTGTGTTGAGTGGTTTTTCAGAAAACTGCCGGACAAAGTGTCCCTCTGAAAATCACTAAAACGCGGAAATCTCAAAACCGGAAGTGACGTCATCAAAACAAAAAAAAAATATATCTAGTATTTTCCATGCTCTATCAGTCCTGAAAGTTTCATGAAAATCGAGCCAGCCGTTTTCGAGAACTCGCGTGCACAAAATCGGTAAGAAAAAAAACAATAATAATAATAATAAAACTAGAAAAGAAACTCGTTGCGAGCAACGAGAGGTCTTCCGTCCGATTCTGTAAAAGAAAACCCGCAAAATCGAGCTGAAAAAGTGATAAAACTTTTTATGGAAACAAAGGGGATTGAACCCGGGTCGCCAGCATGAAAATACAAAGCGCTTACTGTTACGCTATTGGGACCACATCTCTAAATCTACTTTTACATACTTCTGAAACAGTACATCTGTCTTAGAATAATGAAAGGCGGTCACTATTCATAATTTTGCGCCAAACGCCACGAGTAAATCTTCGCGCCAAACTTGCTCAAGATGAACACATAGGAAATTGTTACTTGAGTTTTAACAGTAATTTTTAGGATAGATAATCTATTAGTGATGAACAGATGGTACTGTTTTCTTTCCTTTATTCGATATGTAATATTCAACATTTTATTCCATGCAACTCCATATACAGGCATGCCAATGTTATATTTCTGCACTATTGTCGCCATTTGTCTACTACTTAAGTCGGGTCAGGATACATTATTTCGTGCCAAAGGTCACAAGTAGTTCTGAACGCTATTCCTTTGAAATGTTTGATCTATTTAATGGATCTGATAGCTTCAATGAAAATTAGAAATGTATGTTCTTATTACCGGAATTTCGAGCGTTAGAAAGTACGAAAATATTTATCACATTATACAAATATAATATCGTATACGGCCAAGTAACACTAAAGCTGTGAATTCGGTAAAATTTTCCACGAATTTTGTATCCTGTTTACCCCCAAAGTGAAGATGAGTTACACGTTCATGAAAAGACTGGAATGTTTCACTGAAAAAAAAAAATCACTCGCCCTCCGACGGTCAAGGAATCTGATACTCTTTATGTTCAATAACTTGCATTTATTACAAGAATATTTATATAACCTTTAATAAACAATCTTTTATAAAAAATGTTTTTCTTACTTTTGTCTTTTCTATTCATTTAATATGTCATAAGCCTGCGAGGTAAAATATACAGAAGTCAAGTAATACTTCAGAGACATAGTGAATATTAAGTCAGGCAAGTTTCTTGAAAAGCTATTACTTATAACCATGGTTTAGGATACGTTTTCCCTGGTGCAAAACAAAAGACTGTAGTCATCGTATTTCAACTTGTAGTCATGTTGTATTCTACTATGGGATGCAGACAAAAGCAATTTCAATAGAAGTTTGAGGAAACCTCATATTAAAACTATACTCAATGCAACGTAATTGTGATTAGCAATCTAAAGAATCCTTTAAATTTCATAAATCTTTTTGGTAGAAGTTTCGTTCAACTAAACGCTCAGCTGACCTTCTAGATCCCGACTTGCTTAATGGCGGAGTTTAGGGAGACCGCCGCCATCTTGGACACGCTTCAGATTTTTAAATGCGAATATCTAGTGTGTGGATTGATCAATTCTTGAATAAATTGTATATTTGGCCTTTCCAGTAGGGTCTTAATTACCATTAATTATATCAAAGAAAAATAATGAAAAACAAAAAAAATTGAAAAAGTGTACATTTTGAATTCACTTCCTGTAGCGACCGGAAGTACTTGACAACGCAAACGAAGTCAAAATTGCACATCTATAACTCATGGTCTATCATCTCTAACAAGTCTCCAGTTAATATCTTGAGCCGTTTTCGAGAACATTCGAAGACAAAATTGCATTTTAAAATCAGGAAAATGCCCATAACTTGGCACTGGTAGCGAATTTTCCAAAAAACGGAATTTTATATAAAATTCATATAATGACCTATAATTCCTGAAATTTTCATTGAAATCCACCGAATAGTTTACGAGAAATCGCCTGCACAAAATTTTGTCTAAAAAAAAAAGAATAATAATAATAATAATAATAATAATAAGAAACAATAGAATCACTATAAGGTCTTCCGTGAAGACGGAAGACCTTAAATAGTGGAAAAGAAACCTAAGAATAACAGTAAGGTCTTCCGCTGAAGACGGAAGACCTTAATAATAATAACTAGATGAGATCTCGTTGCGAGCAACGAGAGGTCTTCCGTCCGATTCTGAATTAAAAACACCAAAAATTGAGATGAAAAAGTGATAAAAAAAAATTCGGATATTCGGGGGAGCGAACCCGGGTCGCCCGCGTGACAATCCAACGCGCTACGTATTCAGCCATTGAAAACACCGCTGCAAATATTTAAATGCAAATATCTCGAGATTGCCCTTTTCAATTCTTAAACAAATTACATATTTCTCATTCGCATAAGAGTCACTTTTAAGATAATTAAAATCGTAGAAAAACATTTGAAAACAAAAAAAATTAAAAAAATGCACTTTTTAAATTCGCTTCCGGTAGCGACCGGAAGCACCGACGACGCAGGAAATTGGGCTTACACACATCTAATAACCATGCCCTATGCTCTTAGATAAGTCTCCAGTTCATATTCTCAGCCATTTTCGATAAAAGTGCGCGACAAAATCGCATTTTAAAATCAGGAAACTGGCCATAACTTGGCACCAAAAGCGAATTATCAAATTTCCTCCCAGATGTATCAAGTTCATATTGATGCGCATAATTTCTGAAAATTTCATTGAAATCTATTGAATGGTTGCTGAGAAATCGCGTGCACAAAATTTTGGAAAAAAAATAAGAAAGATTCTGTGAAAGTTTCATTAAATTTCACTCAGTAGTAGAAGAGGAGTTGCAGATAAGAGACAAAGCGTAACAGACGGACGGATGTACAGACGGAAATACCGATTTCTATATACCCTCCCACTTTTCAAGAGGAGGGTATAAAAAGATCACTTGATCTGAGATAGAATTATCTTTTCCATAATACATGATTCTTTGACATTTTTTCGCCATCCTTTGCAGTTGTAAAATATTACAAACAGTATCAAATTATATTGGTGAGGCAAATTCGTATCCTACCAAAAATATCAAACATCTTCGATCAATGTACATTTACAGATATTTCAAAAAGGCATAGGATCCTTCAGGTAAGTGTTTAGTGAGGTTGAAGTATACATCTCTATTATCATCTTTTGTAAAACTTCATTAATAGTAATATCCTATTCTATATTAAATACTGTTCGTTATCTTCATATGTTTCATTTAATCCTGGTTCGAAGTCGCACAGTTACAGATGTACATGCAATTTTTATGATCATTATGTTTTTAGATAAAGACTAACAATTCTAAACACATGTATTCCTCATGTATTCCTCATTTAAAATCAATTGAGAGTTACTTTTAAAAACAATCAGTAAATTCTGTCGATTACATACAAAACACTTATGCCTGCCAATCAACGACTATTACATGAATACATCGAAATGCAAATGAGCACATATATACCGATGCAACCCCACAGATTATTATTTCATAAAAAAATTATTAAATTTGTTTGCTCATTGCAATTACTAATATTGAACATTTAAATTTGTGTGTTGTGTTGGGAGCCCCATAGTATTATTCAGTTTTGCGTAAAATTAACATTTGATTATCTTAAACATGGAAATATTTATTTTAGAACTCCATAAAATTGTTTTCGAAAGTCCTTTTTTGATTTAAGTTCTTGTGAAATTTGATGATAACTAGAAATTGGAAAGACCACTTAATATGTATAACCAATTATACAAATGTACAGAAGTTAACTTGATATGTTTAGAAATAAAATTACCTTCATCTACTGTATTGGATAGAGACTCCATGGTATCTGTTTAAAGCAAAAGAGAAGAAATTTGGTATCTATTATAATTCTTTTGTATTTCTGCATTATCACAATTTAGTGCATATGTAGTTTACCGCAAAATATAACACCAATACAGTGTTAAAGAGATAAATTTGATCAGATTCACTCACTAAAATGCTAATTCTTTTGTAAGACATTACATATTGGAATGTCAGTAATGTGTTTTAATACCTTTTGAACAATAAAATTATGTTATTTATCACATATTTTCTCCTTTATCCCGTTGATATAGCTAATGTGATATTGTTTTCGTATCAACACTATGTATACCTACGCCGCGTGACGTAATGTACAGCTCAACAAATTTTTTAAGCTCACATGGTTTTTCGCACAAATTAAGGTCGCATTGTTATAATGTAATATTGTGTATCAAGGCATCAAAATACATTTTAAAAATATTTGTTTACATTATTTGAGTTTTACCGGGGGTATTTCATATACTTAAACATAATTCACTCATACCAATTGGTAGAACTCTGATATTTTCATTGCTGAAAAATAACAACTACTCTCATTTGAATTTTTGTGTTTTCTTGCCAATTGCAATTGTCTTTTTATCCGTTTTTTTTTTTTAAATAATAGCTCTTTGCAGAAACGTAGACATGGACACGGTTTAGCTACTGTAACTTGTTTTTTCTGTACATTTTGACTCTTTAGTAGTATTTTTCATCTGTTTGACTGCTTTGTATGTTAATAAGGTGGGATTTTTCAGAGTCAAGTTCTAAAATCTGGACTCATGCGAGATTCATCCCACTGCAAAATTCTAACCTTTCAGACCGTAAATGCAGAGGAATTTTCCTTTTCATAGAAGGAATTTACTATTTAAAACAAATAAACAATACTTCATTATCCTACCATTTAGTGTGGTTTCCTTTTGCAATGTTATCCCTTTTTGGCGCTATATTTCGGCAAAACCAAGAGGAATATGGTAAATGAACAAAAAAATTTAAAAAATACTTACCTTTAAGAATAAAATTAAAAAATTTCAACTACATAATATCAAGGTAAGCTCGTCTTATACAATTGTTAATAACCTATGGTAGAATCGTATAGTCGAAACATCGTACCATTTACATATAAATTCCCCGCAAAAATTCCACTTTGGAAACTTAAGATAATAAGTTTGAAAGACATCTATGCTTGAACATTGTAAATGAAATGTAACGTAAGGTTATGTCATTGTACTGCAGTTCGACAATGGTAATTTTTATTACAACAATGTGACCTTAATTTGTGCGAAAAACCATGTGAGCTTAAAAAGTTTGTTGAGCTGTAAATAAACAAATACATGTTTATAATGGAGAGAATGACTTCTTTTGTCAAATTTCACTTTATTTGATGTATTTGTACAAGTTTTCATTCATGAATTAAAAATAAAGCACTGAAATATTTTCTTTCATTTATTTTTGTACGAACTATTTCATACACTGAATATTATCTAATATTATGTTATTTGGTCTGAGGTAACCGAAAAGGAACTCTGAATTAGAAAAAAAAGACAAAATACACATCTATAGTGAACAAAAATATGTGATAAAAAGAAAGGCTCGAGGATATAAAACACACAACTCGTTGGATAAAAATCATATCAAACCACAAACCATGGGATATCCTATATTTATCAATTTGATTAAAATGAGAATCAATTACAGTGTAAGGGGGACCAATGTAGTTCTACCTCAAAGCAGCGTTATGTGACGTCAAAATAGCGACATTTGTTTTTACCTGTTGACATTTGCAACTGTTATTTAAGGGATGAAGCTTATTTCAACTTTTGTTATCCGATATAACATAAATTGGGGCAGTTTACGCTTTATAAACTGCGAAGCGGTTTATAAGAAAGCGTAAACTGCCCCAAGTTTTGTTATATCGGATAACATAAGTTGAAATAAGCTTCATTCCTTATAATTTAATTTCAGTGTAGACAATGAGACAAAATTTCCTCCGGAAAACGTCTTCAAATTGGGCATTATTTTAAAAATAACGTCAAGCGGAGTAATACGTCTTTGACGAAACTGATTGTGACGTAAGCAAGTTATGTTATACAAAATATTATATGTTCCTCAGAATGATTCAGCCAATGAAATTGCTTGATACAAGTGAAATTAAATTATATAAACATAACATTGTTAATATTCAATAACGTACACAATTTACAAAAAGAAAATTTATTCATTATTGATAACATTTTTTTATTTATGGAGTTTTAAAAAGTATTAGAATTCTCTTTCTTTTGTTAATACATGTAATTCATAGCAATTTTTATTAGTGAGGAAATACTTCGATGATATGCTGATATATAAGTGCAAAAAAAAAAAGAAAGAAAGCGGCTTAAATCAGGGAAATACGTTTGATATTATGTTTGCCATCAATGGTATTTTCTTGATAAAACTAAGAAGAAAAACATTTAAAAAATGTACTTGTACATATTTTGCTAATTAATTCATAGTACATGCACATTTAACTGTATAAAGTCATTCCTATGTTTTAATAGGTGTTAGTTGTAGACGGGGAAATGAGGTGGGGGAAGAATGATTGGAATGAAGAAGAAAATAATTAATCTGTTTAAATTATTTCTAATCAAAACAAAATGCTCGTTTTTTCTTAAAATAGTTTAATATTAAGATTTTTGGTGCTTACTTACCTTTCTTTAGTGCAGAAAGGTAAAAATTTATGATACAAGAGTACGAAAATATTTTTCGTTTATTTTATCATAAAGGTATATTTTTTCTTTGTTAAATAAAAAGATGAATCATTTCTTTAAAAAAATATTAATTACAACAGTTTCACACAAAGATTTTTATGATATTACCTCCTATGCATGTCGGCATTGAATACGACAAGAAACACGGGGTGATACTTACATTGAGCTCCAATATAAATTTTCATGCAAGATGAATTACAATGAATTTGCCTTCAATTTAAAAATACAAATCATATGAATTAAATACCTGTTGATTTTGAATGTGACTTGAGATTTTTGGTTCTCTTTTAGCGCATATTTGGGATAGAACAATAATGTCTGAAAATGATATTTAGCATTTCACACTGTTATTGTCAAAAACGGAAGAGATGCATTATTTTGTAATAATTTTGAGGATTAAGAGGAAAATATATTTATAAATATTACCATGAGCAAGTTCCTGATCTAGTTTGAAACCTCCTTTGAAGACAAAAATAAATGAATTACATGTATGTTTCCTGCATATGGGTCGTTATTTGATATAGTAAGGTTAATATGCAATTATAGGATTTTCAGGCACTACAGCTAATATTTGATCATAACAATTGGAATTTAAAGCATTTAAATATATCTCAGATGCCAACAATTGACAACTAGTAACACGTATTTCACCAAAGATTAGGTGGCGGTTGAGCATCACCTCACATATAGGCAAAATGAAAATGACATTTATGTTATTAGAAAGAATTGTCCTTTACATTGAAAGTGTTTATTAAAGATTGATTGATTGTTTGTATGTTGTCTAAAGTCTCTCCTCTCTCACTATCTCTCAAAATTTTCAATCATATGGAAACTCCTCCACTTGCCGGTGGAGAGCTGTATTTTGTCCAATACGCGGTACGTAGGGCCATAGAGCAAGAAGGTAGCTTTTTCGTGCCAGACCTACTGGAACACGGGACCTCGGTTGATACGATCTCATCCGAAGGACCGATGTAGACGTCCCACAGTAGGATATGAACCCGCGATGTAAGGATCAACTCCTTACTTCGCGACTCTAGAGCAGACGCTCTAACCACTGCACCATGCGTGTGGTTCCTGAACATATTTTTAAAATCAGCATTGATGTCAATTTTTATAACTTCCATCGACTGAAAATTGGAATGTTTATGTTATAATATGTTAAACGAATAATACACTCAATTTAACAAATGCATGCTTAAATATGATTTAAATAGAAATATAATTACCTTTCCCCTCTGCAATCAGTGGGACATCTGACAAAAAAATATAAGATTTTTTCTTTAATATCTAAATTAACCTCAAATTTCATTTTTAGAAATAGTTTCATAAAAGTAAAGATAAGTTATACAACTAATTTCAAGATTATGAAATGATTTACAAATAAGTAAATGCATCTTTTTGAAAACAAAACGATACTATTTTACTATTTTAAATAATAGCACGATAAGCACTTTAAAGTGAAAAGTATTAAAAAAAAAGTTTATATATACTAAAAAATCATTCATCAAAATTCATTATTAATGAGAATAGGAAATTGACTTCTTATGATCCCAACAATTATTCTTTTCCTTATATCTTCATTAAATTATTTAAATCAAACTATTTAAAAAAATAAGTTAAAGCACCCTTTTATAACTATTCCTACAATATCTTTGAAATAAATATTGATTAAATAAAGTAGAAGTTAATTTGAAGTTTGATTACCCTCGGGTTTTTGATCGTGAGTGCTGCAAAGTAGATCTCTATGTCTATAAAGCAGTATCCCTCCAACACCACAACTTATCAGACATAAGATAATAAATACTACTGAAATGGCCAGCCATATGTTTTCGTCACAGGAACATGTATTTTGTTCTCTGTAAAAAAAGCAATTAAAATTGTTAGATTTCAATACAATGAACAATTTGAGACACTGTGTTTTAGAAGTCTAAGAAATTAGTGAGCTTACCTTTTATAATCAGAACAATTTGGTAAAACCTCTGTGTTGTTTGTGCTTTTGATGTAGCTATAACACCTTTGGTCTGAAATTTCAATTTAGAATAATTTGTATTGTTTTCTTTATCATGAAAATGCCTTTATCTTAAAAAATGCCGGCTAATATCTTACTTGTTCATAAAAGAATATTGAAAATGAATGTTAAAACTTAAGTATACTTCATGAAGTTTATAAACGCAAAAATGAGGTGTTTATTTGATTCTCGTTAAAATCTTCCTATTTGTCTTTAAAAATTAAAATATTTTATTTCATATTATTGTAAAATTATTTTCGAAGAAAGAACTAAATTGTGTCCAAGGGAGATAAATTATCTAAATACCACCTGTGTATCATACAGTGAATACATGTATATATAGTTAAAAACAAATAAAATTAATACATTTTAATTTGCTTCAAATTTACAAGTCCACTCGAACAACGTTACTTCTAATGCTGCAATTTGCACTAACTACCAAATGCAGAAATATAGAGTATAATAGATTAAGAGATAAGCGAAAGTGTAATAATTTCACTTTTTTCCCCTTTAAATCATATTTTCTTACACTTGTACATGTCAGTAGAGTTGTATGTGAATGGACAAGGCGGATCCGAGTCATCGCATTTGGTATAAAAGTTATCCTGAACAACTGCCCCAACTGTATTAAATTCTGCACACTTTTGACCTACAATTTAAAGATTTTCTTATTTATATCTAAAAACAATTCATATTTCAAATAATGAAATAATTAAGGAAATTAATTTTGTATTTAATATGGTAATACACTCATCATACTTTCTATAAATTGCTATTAACACTGTACATTGCATGTAGTTGAAATGTTGCTGTAATGTATATTTAATATCAGACCGTTTGTATTACCTAATATGGGAACTGAAGGTGCACAGACTTCAATCGTCATATTCATATACTCATTTATCAGACAGTGGTATAAAAACTCTTCTGGTTTGACACAAGACTGGGATAATTTTGAACAATCTTTCCTCTTTGATCGATTTTCCCATTCAGCTTTATTTTTAGGGCAGCGTATTACACTTACTACCGTTGGCAAGGACGCTTGGCAAGGTGACAATGCATAAATCTATATTTTAAAGAATAACAATGATTTTATGAGTTAAAAAACGTTCTGAGATTATCCTCAACAGTATTGCAAGAAATATATTAACCGAACAAAAGTTAGTTTTGATTGTTTTCTGTATTGATTGTAATATTCCTTTTAAAAAGCAAGGGCTAAGAAAAGCATTTTTATTATATATTTAATTGACACTCTAGTGTTGTTCCGATAGTTTGTGGACTTCTACTATAATTGATTTTATTTTTAGTCAAGTGTCATCCACATTTTTGTAAAAATATTTTAACGATTAGTTAAAATAATTTAGTTTAAAAATACACAGAAAGGAAAAAGAAACGCAGGGTAAACTTTGGAGGTGAATAAAAATTTTTTTTTTCAATTTCCTTCAGTATTCCTATCTTACTTTTAAAATATTCTTTTAAAAAGGTATAACCAAAATCTCCTTTGATTTTGTCTAATAATTCTTGAGTTATTGAAGCTCAAATAACGATACACCCCAAAAGTGAAAATTTACAATCACCTTAAGGTATCCGACCCATATTAGGACCAAATTTTCGAAACTTAAATATCAATTATTTGTAAGATATCCTGATATTCTTTTAAAGCATTTTTGAGTAGAAAGGGATTTACCAAGAGAAAATTTCAGAAATTGTATTATTTAACTAGAAATTAATTATAATTGAAGATTGGATTGAAGTATATGGAAGGAAGGAAGTTTTTAAGATAAAGAAATAAATACTTAAGATATCAAAAAATGCTGTGGTGGAAAGATATTCTAGATCATTGGCAATAGTAAAACAGTTAGAAATAATTTTTTACCAGACAGATTTTTAAAAATTAATTTTAATTGAATAAAATTAAAGGGAGATAACCCGTCAAGGACAGGAAACGTTAATAAATTAGGACATGTCCCACTCTTATATTCTGATGCTACAAGATGAAAAATAGCTCTAACTACCTTGAGTATTCAGCCCATACATATCTATTATGCATTCAATTCCATCGAATTTGAGGCTAATATGGATCGGATACCTTAATTTAGTTCAAAACAATGGAAAGATATGACAGAGAAGTAAAATGTGATATTTTCGATCTGAACGTTATATAATAGTACTTTGAAATATATGACCTTTTTACATCTTTAAAAATATGAATGAAGAAGATTTTAGTCATAAAAAATATATATAATTCGTGACTTTGACCGATAGAAACTGTGTTAAGAAAAACAAATGTAAATATATGCATCAATCAAATCATGATAGTATGATAGGATATATTTAAACTTTATTATGATCATATTTTCATACTTGGTTTATCTTCATGACCAGAACATAGATCAGAGTCCACAATGACAAATCCATGTCTCTTCAGCTTGACGTTTCCTTTCACCTGTTATTTGAAGGAAAATCAATGTACATCCCTTTTCACTGGATGGGCTTGTCAATGAATTCGAAGTGTAAGAAAATTATATACAAATTTGTCAGATAAGAACTAATAAAATATTAAAATGAATACTCATTTAATAATAATGATAATAAATTATTTTGATCAAATAATCATTTGCTCTATTATTTGTTCAAATACAAACATGCTTGCATATCTCACAGTTTCAATATTTATTTATTATTTTTTACACCAGTTACAAATTAATTCTTGAACATCTTTTATCAATTTTAAACTAAGATTGATCAGTGTACAATTATTTTTTTCAAAAGTTTCGGCATTGAAAGTATCCGTCTAGATTAATATAATATTGTCATACCAGTACATGCAATTGTAAAAGAGATCACCTTTGTACAAAATAACCGGCACTTCCAATTAATAGGATTCGTAATTTATCCTGATATTTCTGTATGTTTCCGTCAATGGCATAATAAAGAAGTACACCTACGTGAATGTTTGTTCTACTCTCTACTCACTCTCTACCACGACAGACTTACAAAAGGTAGAGGAAACAACCTTAAACAAAACTAAGATACATGTACGGAAAGTGCATATTTTTTTTCAAACACATTTTTTAAAAAAAAGTATACACTCACATCATAACCTTTATGACAAAAAATAGCCATGATTTAAGAGTTAGGTAATTATATACCGTGCTTAATACATTTATATAGTTCATTGTAGCAGAATCAATCAATGTCTAACGTCGCACAACATCAACGAACACTTCTAGTGTGTGTACATGTATTATTAGCTATATATGTTTGGGGATCTTAATATTCTATATATCCTTTTAAATTTTGATTGTTAATGTTAAGCAAATACATCACCAAATTGATTTTGAAATTTCAAAATTTATTATTGAAATGATAATTAAAAAAACGGAAGTTAAAAAATGTGTATTTTAAATTGAAAATTCAGAATGACAAACACATATAAAATAATTGAAACACAGTCACGTATTATACAATTATAATTAATCCAGCAATATATAGGAATAAGCAGATCAGGGGCTGTTAGAAATACATGAAACGAATGGTTAGTCAAAACCTACTTACCAATAGATAAGTACTTGTTAATATCATAAAACAAGAAACGGTTTACTACATTCAAAGCTTTTTGTCGAGGAACAAACGGTATTCGTGATGCTGTTTAAATGGGTTTTTATTTTGATTGAATGAAATTGTAAAATAAAATCACCAAAGTAAATGTTGAATATATTTTTATGTTTTATATATATTAGAAAAAAAAAAAAAAAAAAAAAGCACAATCATTTGATTTCAGAATGTAATATTTTGAGTTTACTTGGCAAAAAAAGATGAAAATCAACATAAAAATCAGGAGGGAAAAATATTCTGTAAATTAAGTTGTATATTTGCTTGTATTTTTTTTCAATATTTTTTCCCAGTGAGTAGTTTTGTGGTGTTCAATTTATCAGCTGATCGATTGGAAGACTTAATATTCAGTTCCGAGTCAAACATGTATATTTTCGAAAAGAGGACAAATCAATTTCACGTTATATAAGGAATGAAGCTTATTTCAACTTATATTATACGATATAACATAACTTTGGGCAGTTTACGCTTTAAGCGTGAACTGCCCCAAGTTTTGTTATATCGCAAAGTATAAGTTAAATAAGCTTCATTCCTTATAATTTAATTTCAGTGCAGACAATGAGACAATTTTATTCACAGTTTAAGGCTTCCCATTGATTAAATTTAAATTTAAAAATAATGTCAAGCGGAGTAATACGTTTTTGACGTAACTCATTGTGACGTAGGCAAGTTATATTATACAAAATGGATAAAATCTTTTATCCAATCAAATGACGTGTTACAAGTAAAGTTCTTAGGAAAGATCAACAAAAGGTTGATATATGACTTGACATTTTTATTTCAGGTAAAATTACATGAATAAGCTCAAAGTCAGGAGTTTTATGAGTGGAAACAGAAAAGACTTCCATTCTTAAAATAATCTGTCCTTATATATTACCCACTCGATTGAAGGGATAAAATGGCAGTTTATTTACATTTTGCATGGCAACGGCAAGGGAAATAATCTCTCATGCGCACAAGTATGACATATTAATAAAAATGCACCACCTTACAAAAAAATATAAGAACTAATTTTTGGAAATCTGTTTGTTTCTGTATATTATCAAATTATGGAACAAACGTTTGACACCTATATAAACGACTGAAATAAAGTTTTTTTTCAATCCAGGGAACTGCCCTTTTAAATTTATATTTTGTTGTTTTGGAAATTATAATGTATCCATACGTATTAAAATTAAAATGTTCATCATGACGTCAATATTTAAAAAAAAATATCAACACACTTTAGGTAAATAGTAGAGGCAATCATGCAAGACAGACATAATTAAATGTCTCTCTTTCTCTCCATCCCAGACTTTCTCTAATCTGTGCCTCTCTTTATCTGTCTCTCTCGAAAAATTCTGCTTATGGATTGTTGATTTTTATGCGCATGTAAAAAGAGTGGATTTGTGCCGTTTCATTAAATGTATTCCAAAAAGCATTTAGGAGTGCAAAATGAAAAGAGTGACTTTAAATTTATTGTCTTAATTATTTTGAATATGCATCTTACACTCCTCCAACATGTTAAAAGCCGCTGTTTTCGATTATATTCATGTTTTATAAATACATTTAAAATGTACTTTAAACATGTTATATTTTATCTTTCATGTCATTTTTGTACTGAAAATTGCAACACACGATATGACATGTCTTATCTCTATACCTACTTTCGTTTTGTAAAAATCGCTATTTACATTTTTTTTTCATTTTTTATCATCTCTTTCACATCATTTACAGTGTAATATCTTACTAAAGCATCTTACAAAGCAAAAAATTGAAAGCATTAGCAGATACAATTTTTATGCAATATACTCAGATTTGTAAACAAATATGGCTTACCAAAAACTCGAACTATTTAAAGAACATCGGATTTTTATCACACGGATCATTCATTGGTTTGATATTTTAAAGGGAGCTAATGTTCTTATCAATCCACAGCGTAACAATTGCATTAAGGCAAGTAAGGTTAATGCCTCATTAGAACTTTATTTATTTATTTTTGCAAGGTGATGGGATAGAAGGATTGCGTAGCAGTTTTGTGTTTGACCGTTGTTGGTTTATGTAGGAATATCAAACGATTGCAATATTTTCTGAATTGAAAGGGGGTTGGGAGGAATTTCCAGACAGTAAGTTTATCGATTTTTTTTTCATTCATCTTTAGTTTAAAAAAAATATAGAATAAAATTCTTGGAGAAAAATATAAGCAAATAATAAAAATATAGTATTTCCTTCTTATAAATTTATTTTGATTAAAGGAATGCGATTAAAGTTTTACTATTATTAAAATTATTACTATGAAGTTTATGCTTAAAAATTTAAAGGCAAAATAAACCAACAAAAGTAAAAAAAAAATGTTGAACATTTTAGATTGATTTTCCAAATTATCACAAGATAAAAAAGATGTTATATGTTCACACGGAGCAGTCGCCATTTAGTTGCATGACATTATTGTTTCTCAATGTCCAGATTCTCTACGTCATACACTTATCTTGATGAGATTCCTTGGAATTAAGATTCAAACTCGTCTTGTTAATAATGAATAGCTGATTTCAATGCAAATGATATCATAAATAGATCTGTACATGGTGAAAGATTCTTACTTAATTATAACGGCATATTTACTTGTCGGCGTTCCACATCTACAGTGTATCACACACGATCAACGTCACTTTTCTACTTGACAAACTTTTAACACTCTTACCACAAATCCACATTAATTTTTACATCTCTCGTCTATCTAATCTTTTTTTGGTATTTAAAACAAGTACTTTTATGGCATTTTATTTTTTAATGGCCCTTTTAAATATTTTTCTAGATCTATGTTAGTTTTTTCCAATGATTGTAACTTCACAGCATGTTAGAAAAAGAAACCCATCCATCACCCTTTCTGGCGTCATTACAACTCATAAATTGTTCGGACATTTCATATAGAATTTACTATGAAATTTTATAGAACTTACATAATGGGGATAGAATTACAGATTTAACGGTATAATATTGTAATACCACTTGAGTGAGTTCACGACATTTTTTTATTTCATGAAAAAAGTTCACAAAAAAGTTGTTTCTTTTTATCAGTTACGCTTAGGTAGAAAACAACGTAATCTTCGAGGTTGCACTGCCTAGATATACATAATTACCATTGCTTAAAAAACGTCAACATTTTTATTTAAAAAAAAGATAATTAATAATGTATAGTTTATTATTAATAGATAAAAAGATTATGCTAAATGAACATTATAAAATTCATTTATGTATCTTATGCAGTTTTAATTTATGGCGCTGGTCCACGAACTTTTCGAACAATCCTCATAAATTATCAGTAATTGCTGTCAAATCTCAGAAGAAGAAATATCAAATGGAATCCAAACGTCGCTATATGATTTGAAATCATTCTTCATGGTTAGTTTTGCTTTTAATTGTATCTTTGGTGTAAAAGGTGGGATGAGCTGTGAACATTGATGAATCTCATAACTTCGGTGAGAAAAAAAATCATGTTCAGGCCATAAACAAGAATCTCTGAAATATCAGAGGCGGGGTTGTGTTAAAATTCATAGGCAGCGACAGCATTCCCTGTTCAACAAACAAATCCGTCGTTGACCCTGTGTATTATCATGCTAATGGAGAACTTTGTAACCAAATCTGGTTTGATGAAAGCAACCACAAATTCTACTTATTATTTTTTACAATTAAAAAAGTGTATTTTTGACACAAAAATATATAATAACTCTCTCTTCCTCTACCTACTATGGTGTTGATTAATATGAAAAAAAAGTCTTACAAAGTTTTCTAGGAAACACAAATTTACATGTATATGTTTTGATATAATTTATCAAAAATCAGATATCTGATATTAATAAACGATATAATGTTATTTTGAAATGTAATCAGTTTGTTGCATAAGTACACTTAAAACAAATATAACATCACAGGAAACAAATGATGATAATACTTTTATCAGACATGCTATCACCCAAAACCTTCAAACAATAACAAATCTACTCTTTGTTAAATTAATTTCAGATCAAAGGTCGTTAAAAAAATTGCAAATACTACTTTTTGGATGCACAGGTTAAAAACTAACAAAACACTGTATTCAAATGTGCAACTAAGCGAAGAAACGTTTGCAAACAGTGTTTACTTCATCTTTTTTTTATTGAAAACTAAAAGTACTGTTAGTACTGAGATCACTTAATGATCTCACTGCATCCTATATCATGAATATGGCAAAGTCCATGTTTTGCATTGGGAAATCCAAAATAAGTGTTATATCAGAAAGGTAAATAGAAGGTTCACGATGACACTATGTAAACACGATTCTGTGAAAAATTCAAAAAATTTTATTCATTGTTGTAAGAGGATTTGCGAATGAGACATGGCTACCCCGAAAGTGTAACAATCGGCCATACAGACAGACGGACAGCTAGACGGACCGGCGTACAGATGGGTGTAAAAATTTAACGATAAAGACTTGATCAACATCCACTTATGTTTTTCCGGTTCATATTCGAAAAGTTTATTTTTGCATGCTATGGCCATAAAATAAATACAAATATATATCAGAGGAGTGTGTGTCATTTGCCGCTATCTGATCAAACTATAGCATAGCTTCTGATAGGTATCATAAGGAAATCGCGATCTTGTCTGATGGAAATATATTTCAAAAATAACAGGATAGTTATAATCACCAGTTTAGGTATCCAAATGAGTAACAATATGGATCGACATAACTTTTTGTCCTAGTAAGTGAACGTATCTGATTTTCATTTTTAATCGTAGGATTTTATAATTATTAATTAAATTATGACATAATATAAGCCTGCATTTGGGTGTAATAAATTATTTTTTTTAAAATATAATGTCTTTTTACAGCCATAAATATCCAGCTCACCTTTTCTTTTAAATAGACTAACTCAAAAAATGAAAGTTACCGTTTCTTTTATTCTTTTTACAAGTTTGAAAAAAAGAATTTAAAGCTTAAAAAATGAAGTTCAATTTTTTAATGATGTCTTTTACATTCAAGGGCAAACAATCCATGATGGTTCTTAAGTTCAATGATGTACGAGGGTCATTCAAAAAATACGTAGACAATGTTCCTCATCTTCAGATTATTATTACAAAATTATAGATCAACACATTTTCGTAAACAAAAACATTTATTTTGTCGAAGTGTGAAGTTTCATTCCATTTGATTAAATAAAACTCATGATAGCCAAATTTTAAAGCAACATGTTTTGTTACCACGGAGCACGGTCAACCAACATTGTAACGTCAAAAAACTACGTTGAGAAAGTTTCTCAAAATTACTCCGCTTTTTAATTTCATACATAGTTTGTAACATCTTCTCCATTCATAAAACGTCTCCATAACACTTAACACATATTTTGCTAACAAAATTTTCACATTCTTTAATTTACCATGTATCTCTATTAATTTTGCAAAAGTGAAGCGCACATGACCTTTAAATGGCGTTCCTAACTCTTTTGACAATTTTAAACCCATAACCTGTTTCTTTGCAGACAATCAATCATCCGATTCAAACTCGCTACCGCTCTGAAATTGTACTTTCCATTTTATATACTGAACAAAAAAAGAAACGCATAATCAGAATAATATGAAATTCTAAGCTTTCAGTTTAAACCTTGATTATTTAAGCGATTTTAGAGTGTGTTGTGATAAAAATCAATGTTGCAAATTGAAAAGTCAAGTTGAGGTCATTTTCATTGCCCCCAAATTCAAGGGGCATAACAATATGTACTGTGCAAAGTCTCAATGCTAGTGGGTTTCCAATGTACGGATATCGTGGGGGAATATCATCTCATTTTAGTCTCATACGAACAGTTTATGCATTTTTATGCTGATTTATTCATCCAGCAATTGTAGCAGCAGTTTTACAGCAAGTTCTGAATCGCATGAGGTGATGAAGGGGGGGGAGGGGTGTCTGACGGTCCTGCCTTGTTGTGGTTACCTGCGGATGGCCAGATAGTGGTCTTCAGACGTTAGTTTTAAGGTTGCAAAGCCCATTGATTTATTTCAAATACAGTTGCAACTTCCTGTTGCGTAGCTCCATTTAGTATCATCGTTAGCCTGGATGTATTCATCTTTGTTTGGGCGTGGCATTGCAGTATTAACACTGCAATCAAATCTTAAATATGGGTTTAATAGAAGTGTTAAAAGTTTCTCTAAATCCAAAATATCAATGAAAATAGACATTTGATTTAAAAGAAATCATGAAAAATACTACTTTCATAAACATGTTTAATCAAGGGAGATAATTCAACACTTGGGTTTTAAAACCCCATGTTGTCCTTTAAATAGGTCACAGGTATCCAATGATATAAAAAAAAATTGTTTCATGTACATTTTAAAAATTTCTTTGACGAGTAAAACAATATGCGTTTCTTTTTTTGTTGAGTATACAAATACACGGCTTAATTTTCATTCCAGATTTGGTTTATACAGAGTTTTTTAAGTTTGTAAAAAAAGTTCCCCGAATGCAAAGCACAATTTTACTGCTACTCGCTGCTCCGTGACGTTCTCCAACGTCATGGTTTTTTGCCTTTTAAAATCAAGTCCATATATATTTAAAAATTGATATCTTTTAAGCGGAGCGACATATTACATAGCCTGATATCATTTTGCTTAATACAGCAATTAAAACATGTCATTTTTATTTCGTTTCAGCTACATTTATTAGAGATATTGCTATAAATGCTATATAGTGAAAATTAGTAAATTACTCAATTTTGACGGTGCTCCGTGACCCCATTTTTGCTATTCTAAATCTTTGATAATTTTTAAAGATAGGAAGATATATTTTTTTACTATAATTATTTGAATCTGTTGTTAAAATATGTTTACCAAATCTGGTTATAATATGACGTTAAATAAAAAAGTTAAAGCAAAAGTCTACGAACTTTTTAAATGACCCTCGTATATGTATAGTAAAATAATAAGAAGAAAAATGAAAGGTAATTAATTTTGTTACTTCGTTACAATGAGATATTGATTTCTATTCTCAGAGTCCAATATTTGATCACCTGTAAGACTGGATTCATGGTCAGAATCTTTTCTGAGAAGATGGTTTTTTTCATCAATCTTTGGTTCAACATAGCCATGTCCATGAGAAAGAAGATGATTTTCGCAAAACTGTGGAGAATTTTCACATTTGATTTCAAATCCTTGAGCATTTTGATCAATATCAGAGTTTGGACAGACCCCATGTAGTTGTATTGCATAAACATTTTGAATGGCGTTGTGTCCTATTTTTGCATTAACCAGTCCTTCAAATATTATTTTTTCCGTTGTTATATTCAACTCCATCATTTCACAATCACTATAATCCCCTGGACCAACCGACAATTTTTTATCTGGTTGGTGTTTGGGTCTTTTAATTGTTTTAAAAATCTTGTAGACGAAACATATGATAATAAACGTGACACAAGTGCTACAGCTGGCAAAAATTATAAATACTAATTTCCATGTTAATGTATCATTATCCTCGATAATGCGTTTAATATCTTCATGTGTTAGTGGCCTATAAGTCTTTCCAACATTTGTAGGAAGAGCAAATGATGTTATTCCTAATTCTCTTGACACACCTAATGCTCCCTCCAATTTTGGAACTTGTCTGTTTGTATCCCTCTCTATGAATTCGAAAATTCAGATATGATAATCATCTACCTTCAAGCTTTATAGGATGTAAAATAGATGTGAAATGAATTATTTCTCCGAAGTTTTTTTTATACACTATGTATACTTTGTATTATTAACAAATTTGTTGTCCTGACTATCATTTACAGAATTTTTAGTTGAATATAAATTTTGCTTTTTCATATGACCTTCAAGTAATGAACTAGAAAACAATTTTAAAATTGTTATTTTCGAATCTTGTATATCAGGGATGGAATGCATGCAAATTAAAATGTTTTTTTTTTCTCCTCTGAACTTTTTAAAACCAAAATATTTTAATTTGTTGAGTAAGGGGAAAAATTTAAGTAATCTCTTCTGACGTTCTGTTCAAAGCAATGTTTTGGGTACACCAATATGTGTGTTGAAAACCGAGGGTTATACAGAAAAAATAGTGTTCCATACAATCAGTATTATTAAACTAAAAGCATTAAAAGTGATTTAAGATTTATGCTTGTTTTTAAACCTAATTCTTTAAAGTCTCACTGAATCTTATAATATAACTTTCAAACTTTTATGATATAAATCATAGAATTTTTATAGAGAAAAAATAAGTAAGAAAATCATACCCTTCTCTTTTGGACAGCCAAAGGCAATATCACAAAACTCTTCATTGCAAGAACACTTAAACTTACAAGTCTTTCCATAAGTTGGGTACTGACATACGCTAGTGCAATTCAAGCCGTAATATCCTGGATTGCATTCTATAAATAATCAAAAATTTAAAATTTTTGACAAATATGAAATAAAACCCAATATGATAAAATGTTAATTGATTTCCATATTGATATTTAAGGAAAAGTTATTTTATAATAAAATATATAAACGATAAATACACACCAACACACTCTTGTTTTAAATTGTCCCATACAGTACCAGAGCAACAAACCAGTCCATTTTTCCTGAAAATGAAAATAGTTGCTATTTAGACAAGAAGAACAATATAATAATTTATTAAGCACAATTTATTTTTCCAAAACTTACCCAGAACAGCGTGAATTGACGAAAATTTCTTTGAAAAATAGAACCAGAGAAAAAATGAGAAATTTCATTATTATTAAAAAAAAAAAAGAAATTGAGATCTTAGGGAGAGTTTGTTATCCCTCATGCAATTATATTTTTTTTTAATTTACGACAAACAAGCCATCTTTTTATACTGAATAGTTTAAGGAAGTGAACCAAGTGTTTCGCAAATTGTGATGTCTAATTACGATATCATTTCCTAGCACTTGTTTGAATGACATTAATTTTAATGAGCAAGTGGTTGTTATGAAATGAGATCCAATTTGATTTGTACACAGAGGAAACCATGGACTTCTAGAAAGATCGGGAATGGATCCCGTGCCTAGTAGGAAATGTAGAAGTAAACATCCACTCTCACTGGTCAAACCTTCCGTGATTCCTCAATATTGGAAAAATTGTAATTTAGTTTAAAAGTAGTTGGCCTCAGAAACTGGAAACCAAGTCCTATTTTTAATCAATTTAAATTATTGAAAGTTTTATTACATAAATTTTTTGCCAGTAGTCACAATTTGTACAATTTATTGATCGAAATCACAACAATGATTTTTATTTTTAAAAAATTATACAATCATGTATGTAGATGAATCAATACTTGTAAACACTGCTAAATTAAATGAGTATTTACAATATCTATCTGAACTTCTTTTGTGGAGTAAATTTATCATAAAGTGATATAAGTTAAAATATCAACTCAATATTTACGATGTAGATGTAATGTAATGCAATGTGCTTTGAATATTGCAGAAATGAAAGCATAAAGTAAGTATGCAAAAATTGTGCTCGTAAATTAAGTTTCAAGACATCACAAAAAGTTTTTTTTTTGTAAAAAGCACTTAAATATGATGTAAAATGACTGAATTTCAATTTACTGTAAGTAATGCTACACATAGCTTCATAAAGCATATCTTTATATGCTTTTGATTTTGAGAGAAAAAGTTTCAAAAATTAAATTTCTTTTTTGAAAGAATTCACATTTCATTATCAGTACTCTTTACGATTTTTTAGCAGGATACTTCTCATGTATTTTACTTCACTGATCTAATGATTCTGTTTGAAGCAAAGAAAAGGTTGAACTTTTTTGTCCCCTGCTTGAAAAGGGAATATTAATTTGGGTCTGTCGTCCGTCCGTCTGTCTAGCTCTCCGTCTTTCTGTCTGTCTGCAACGCTTTCGTTTCCACAGGATATTTCAAGAACCCTTTGAGCTTTCACAATGAAATTTTGCACAGCAACTTCCTATGGGCAAAACAAGAACCCTATTGATTTTGAGGTCAAAAGGTCAAAGGTCAAGGTCATAAATTCGCAAATTTTGTCTTTTATGACACTTTTGTTTCCGCGCGATATGTCAAGAATTCTTTGAGCTTTTGCAATGAAATTTTATATTGTAACAACTCCCTATGGTCTTAGGAAGACCGCTATTGAATTTAAGGTCAAAAGGTCAACTTCAAGTTCGTAAATTTTTACATTCTGTCTGTGTGTAACTCTGTCCTTTCTTGGGGGATATGTCGAGAAGATTTTGAGCTTTTTCAATGTAATTTTATATCAAAACTCCCTAGGACCGCTCTCACCCCTCTCAAAGTGCCCCGCCCCGTTTGTTTTATTAGTATTTATTGTATTACATGTCGCTATTTTTAGCACAGGGGCATGTGGAGAGTTATTACGTATAAAACAGTTTCTCGGCGGACTTTGCATTCTCATTGTTACATCTATTAGAACTTTTTAATCAGACACAATGCATTGTGTAAAAATCTGACGATTATGTACTATTCTTAGCGGTTTAAAGCGGTTCCTTAGTGCATTGGTAAGTCTCTCGCTTCACATGTGAGAGGTACCGGGATCGCAGCCCAGACGATCCATTTTCTTTTTTTCCGAAATATTTTTTTTTCTAAATAATAATATTCAGCATGTGAAATAAAAAATATATGAGGTCTGGCTTGCACAAACTCATAAAATCATCACTACAATGTGCTAAATATTCCAAATAAAAAGAATCTTCTATACACATAATAAAGAATAAGCAATCAAATCTATATATCCATATTGGCTTATTTTATTTGCTTCAGTATACATGTATACTTTAATAATTCTATAAATTCAGTCAGGGGAATCCGACTCCCCCCTTCCCCTGAACTGCGCATGGTTTACTTTTTCCCTAACTGGGGGACACATATTCTCTAAATTAGCTTGTTTTCTTTGCGATGTACCTGTCTTTGTAAGGATTATTTTTGGAAGGTATGAAATCAAGTATATACAGAAGCGTATTGCTGCCACTTGAAAAAAAAATTCTACGTCGTACGTACGAGATAGTACATGTAAATCGTAAATACGAGATAGTAAGTCGTAGGTAAGACATACTACGTCATACGAACAACATATTCTCTCGTATATACGACATAATACGCTTCCGTAGGTAAATGTAAGGTATTTGAAACTTATCTCTTTTGATTGGAATGTTTTATCTATATACGCCGAATTAAGAAAAGGCATGCGAATATTTTCTTAATTAAAAAAAAAGACTTTGAAGAAATTAAGACAAAGAATATGTACACAACTTCGCACTGCTTGGACATGTAGATATTGATCGACATTTGACATATCACTGACTGAATCATGCATCAAGTATATTTTTCCTGTCTGTATTTGAAGCGCGAAACATTAAAGGCCATAACATAAGGTAACACTTGCCTAAACCTATAGGGAAATACTTGCAGGAATCAAACATGGTTTTGCTTGCTTTTATTATACAATAGGAAACAAGTTTTCGTGAACTTCCTTTCCTGGTCTTTATTTTTATATTGCGTATTTATCCCAAAACGATATTATCTTATGAAACAAATAACAGAATAATTAATCTGCCAAGGATTTAGCATCAAAGGATTTAGCATCAAAGCACTATCTCAAAATAAAACAAAAATATTTTGTGCCTATGTCATGTAGAAAAAAAAAATAATGAATGTCAGAATGTGAATTATCGTAAACTGGGAGGATTTTTTTTAGCGGAGGTGCTAATTTTGGCTTATTATTGCCTCCCTCTTTTCGGCGTCATTTTTAAGTCCTCGATTGTTTGAACACTTTAAATAAAATGTACGATACCAACTTTTTCCACCATTCTACAACGTTTCACCCTGGAAAAACTGGTATAAACTCGGAAAATACGATTATACCATTGCATAAAACTTAACGCAGAAAATTTGTAATGCTTACCAAACATAATGTTTTTGCATGAGTATGTGTACAAGATTTCATAAAATTCTTTGATTTTAAACTGTTAATGAATTTATCAATATGAACCACTAATATAATTGGTCGACAGGTCACAAGTTCACCTCAATTTTTTATCCTTCTTGGATGGATATAAAAAAAAATTGAATTATCAATATTTTTTCCAGGTAAGAAAGAGGATACCTTGAGATACCAAGAGCACTAACGATCCAAGCCTTCTCTTTTGAGATCAGAGGGAATTTATCTCCCTGTTTACGGTTTAAAGCATAATTTATCCGGATAAGATAAATAGGGAAAAGGTACATGTATGATTTTATTCTCATATTCAGTATATCGGTGAAATGCCCTATTTTGTAATCTATGATGAAAATACACTCATTTGTAGAAATAGCAAAAAAAGAAAGAAATGAAACACACAGAAGAAAATCTTAGTGACTTAGTGAAATTTTCACAAAGTTAAACAAAATAAATATTCATTTCGATGTAATATTCGGGTCATTAAGCCAGCTTATCCTTTTGTTTTGTTTGTAAATACCTCATTTGCATATTGAATTATAAAAACTGTAACTGGTACTAAATCGAAACTTAATACATAACGTTTATAACTAGATCGTACAGTTTTAGAATGACAAATAAAGCTGTGAAAAACATTACACAAGGACTAAATACATACACCCTCTTTTAATTAAATTGCTCTAAAACATTATAATATGAAACTTTTTGCATATCACAGATCCCCTTGATAAAATATTCTTAACAGATATTGCATGTTTAACTATGGAAAAAAGGAAAATAAGATATCAGGTCACAAACTTGATACAAGGTAGCAGATGAATCAGAGCGTGGTAAATTATGCTTAACGGGGCCTTGTCTAATACAAGTACCCATGACTTTGAGCAGCTTTTTTATTCTGAATAAAGACAGTTTAAAAAACTTGTAACAAGTAATTCTTAAAATAGCAAAGAACTTTATTCGGTAGTAAACAATATTTGCCCCCCAAATCAAATTTTGACGGAGAAATATTTAATCTAGTTCTTTAACAGGGGAGTTTTTGCTGACTTCAAAGCACTGAATATTTTTATAAGCAATGACGTCATATGTTTGAAATGACGTCATGAAAATGGCGTAAATTTAAAATTCCCATGATTTCTACAGAAAAATGTATATTTTACATCGATATTTTGAGTAAATGTCACCGAGCGCAGGTCGGATCAGGATCAATATTTTGATATAATGTGTAGAATGATAATATCAATGAGATATGTAATTATTATTCCTGAGCAAACTTGCGCTCTATAAATTTAAAGCTAAAATTGTTAAAATTTTGTCCGTTTTGTCCTCTTTCTAAGAAATAATATAAAATCGGACTAGTTTGTGACTTCATAAAAACAAAAATTGTTAATAAACTACTTTAAAACTTCAATATGTTCTGTTAATTTATCTGTTTCATACAATGTATAGAATTCAGCACATTTCAAGGATTTTTCATTGTTTGACTTTTATTGGGGCAAAGATATGCAATATATTGCATATAGTTCTTTAAAATACTTTTATGTTCTTAGATAAGTACTATCCATCTGCATTTCTTTGTTGTCTTGATGATTTTAATTGATGTTTCTAAATTTTTTACTATGTAAATATCATCAATCCTACCAAGGAATTTTAAAAAGAAAATTAAAGGCACATTCACTAAATCATTAAGAAAGTATCTTATTGAAAGTAAAACTATAGGCTCTGTGCTATAGTCTTCAGAACTGCAATTGGTCAATAGAAAATCAATAAAAATAGCTCAATTGGTAGTAGTGTAAAATTATTTTAAGGTACTCCGACCCTCAGATTCTGAAAATCAAGCATTGAC